ATGATAAAACTGCCATTATAATGGCGTAAATAATCGTGAAAATTGCTCAATTAATTAAAGATACATAATTAAAGAAATATGATATAAAGATTGTTAAATATATTAAATATTATTGTTCTACGTTAAATATCATTTTCTTACGTTATATTATTTATTTTCGTTCGCAGTCTTGTTGAATTTTAGATTCATATATTTTCATGTACACATTATATGCATTCTGTGTATTTAAATTTCGCGCGGATACACAAAAATTCGCACTCTGACGATCAGTGTAATGTTTAAAGATTATTACGAACCGTTAAAGGGTTAAACGTGAAGAGACGATCTTAACGCGATACCACGGCGTCTATGGAGAAGAACTAGCTGGGAAATTTATGAGGGAACGACTTGTTTATGAAGCCATTATCTTCCGCACTTTCGTTTGCTAAAAGGAAGACGAAAAATCTCCACCGTCCGTCGTGGAGAATTAATGATGGTACTGAAGAAGAAGGAAGAAGGTTTCACTATCGGATGATTATTTTAATAGCGGATAGTTCCCACGTACGTTTCGAGCATTAGAACTAGCAAATAATAAAGATCGTTGCGTAGATCAGTTTATACTGTTTTCGATTAAGTTTTTACGTGCGGATCGACGGGTGAAGCCAAAACATGTTTAATCGGATGGATATCCTGCGTTTTACAGCTACGAGTCCAATCATCTTTCGTTCAAAAGTATGTGTGTACGTAAAAATATCACACACATATACATAAATGTCGATCGCAGTATTGGCAGTGCCATGAACGCGTGATTCATTCCATGATGCTCCAATAATAATCGTTTCTTCGGACAGTTAATGTTAAGATGATAATTCACGTCTCTCGTAAGTAACGTTCGAGCAATCAAGATCTATCGTAATCTATCGTAAGAAATTTCTTCCCCCATGTAAAGAATCTTCGATCGAATTCGAAGGAATTTTGTATGATTTGTAGAATTTTATAAAATATTTCTTCCTCTGTATGGGATAATGATGTATTTCCTACTTAAATCAATATTTTAAAAAATTTTCCTTTTTCTTTAGTTCTAACTTCTTTGCTATCAAAGCAAATTGAGTGTTACTCAAGCTATATCTTGTGACTTTAATAGAAAAAAGAGAGACAGAGAGAGAGAGAGAGAGAGAG